ACTTAATGAGCAGACTTATTAGGATTTCAGTCAAACAAATTCTTTTTCTTTACGCTGGCCACTAGACTGACCCCGACAATCTTGCGACTTCAGAGGCTGCGAATCTGAAGTTTAAATTTCTACTAACACCTTGAGATTTTTTTTTACGCTGAAAATGTAAATCTCGCGTCTTATTTTTTTTTTTACTAATCATCGCACTACGCGAGTAACGTTACTTTTCGTTATTATCTTTTTATTGATCAGATATTCGGTGATAGCTTGTTACAGAGCACTACGGAAACAAGAAAATCCGGTCGATTGGAAATTATCGTCTGTGTAATATAACAAGAGACGAATTCTGTTTTAGAACAGAATATATACTTCGCATTTCGATATCCTCGACATTTGTGCGAGATATTTGTGTGTAGATATGTCAATGTTGAGTGAGAGCGCCTTTGAATCTCGCTGCGAAGCTACACAATCGAGTTTGTATTTTAAACGACATCAATGTCAATATCTGCGAAAGAACGTGAATGTGTCAGGAGTTTCCTTAAATAGATAAAAGAGAGTATAACTTTGCGTCTAATTATAAAAGCGTTACATTAAAAAATTTAAACGATCCTAAAGTCTCTATACATTACAACAAACATATATTTTTCTAAATCCAAATTCGCAAACCGATATATATATATATATATATATATATATATATATATATATAAACTAGTTTTATTTTTTATGCCTAGTACCTTTTCTCGATAACTACGCGCATCTCGACAGAATACAATGTAACTCTCTCGAAATGACATATGAAACCGCCATTTTATTACGAAGGTCATCTTTTTAGTTATGACTTCGCAATATTCCCGTTGTGTGCGGATATAAAGTTCCTGCCTCGTGCGGTAACAAAATAAAAGTGACGCACGAGCTGTAACCGAGCGACGCGGTCGTAGATCGACCCCGGGGGTGCATCCATTCCATTAAGCGCGACCCCTCGACGTACATTCAGCTCTTTCATCGAAGCCCAGTTACATTGGCGGGAGGAAACCCTCAAGGCTCTTGATCATCGTTGAAGAGATCTACCGGGATAGCCTAAGGGAGATCAGACGTGGCTGGCGTGTAAATCTACTGTGTTACGTCTTTTACTGTCGGTTATTCACGTGACTGGCAGATGTGAAATTGAAAGTTATAAATAAATCCAGAGAGAGAGAGAGAGAGAGAGAGAGAGAGACAGTAATAATAATCAATAAAAAAATCTTTACATTATTCTTTGCTTTTTCTATAAAAGAAACAATTATTTGTTGTTGTTGTTTTTTTTTTATTGCCAAAATATACAAATTCCGGAAATTAACTGAGCTGTGAGTTTTTACTTGACACGTTCAGAAATTGTTTTATCGAATATTTCATTTTCTCGGCGTAAGATCCATCGAAGTTTATGACAACTCGGCTTATTTGCGGCTCCTTGCGTCCCCTCTTTTTGCTATTAATTAAGTGAACCTTTAAAAAGGAAAACATCTCGCGCCGCTCTCTGAACTCCGAATGAATACATTTGCGGAGGCGCCACGACGACGCCCGTCTTTGCAGGATGGTCGGTTATTGCTTCCACTCGAAACTTTCCGTCAAGTTTGCTCTCGTCGCGACTATGGTAATTTCGCTGTATGATTCATTTGTGGGATCGCGTTCTGTCCAATCCCGAAAATTAAATTTCTTTTATAAGTATAACGGTAGCAAAGAACTTGCGAAATATTCAAACGTAGTACAAATAAAAAAAAAAAAAAGAACGGAGCATACGCGCAAATAATGAACGGACGTCTATTTATCGATTTATTATTTAATGATTTTTCGTAGTCATCTGAGTTTGCTGGTTTTGTTTTTCTTACATTTCAAATGCCGAACTGCATTTTAATTTTCTTTACCGTAGAGAATTCCGTTAGTCGTCTTTTCGATAGGCGAACTCAAGGGTCTATGATTAATTACTCTTCAAGATGCACTACGTACACCGAGCAGCGTCAAGGGCGTTCTTCCTTTGTGAAATTACCTTCGAGTAGTACTTTAGACGTTCCTCGAGGGCTACGACACTTGTCAAACGGTTCATTACCTTTCTTATTCAGTGTGGAGAGTATTACGGAAAAAAAATTTCATCCTCAAGCATCTTTTCATTCGTTGAAATTGCGACGTTTAAAAGAGGTAAATAATAACGAAGTAAGCACCTTTATTCTTTCTCATTTGCACTCGTGTCGCTTGTAAATTATATCATTTTCATTCCCAAGAAAATTCTTCCTCCTCTCTTAGTTATTTAGTTTAATTACAACTAATCTCGTTTACTTAACAATGCTTTTTTTGTGTCAACAGTTACTTTTTATTACTTATGCCGCACGTTACTTTTTATTACTTACGATACTAAAAAAAAAAAAAAAAACTCAAACAGCGTGTGACTAATTATCTTCATAATTATTTGTCTCGCAGTTGTAAATTTTTTTGTTTTGTTTTATACATTTAAAAGAATGACAGGCAGTCTATTTTTTATTTTTTTTATTTTCTTTCTCTCTTTGCAAGAAACAAAAAATAGGGTTTCTTTAGCACGTCTGTTATGTTTTTCATTCATTTTCCTCACGTCGACGGCAGATGTTAATTTGGAACTGTCGCGTTTAGAAAATTTGCCATTGTCTGCCGGGCAAATGTCCCGTTGCTTTGTTCCTTAAAGACCCGAGCGAACATTTAGAAAAAGACCAAAGAAAAGCGTAGGAAACGGCCGGTTGTGACCGTTTTGTTGCTTTAACTCTCGTTAATAATCTCGATTGTCTTTTTTCTCGTACCGCGTCTGTCAGTCGTGTGCGTGTTTCGCGAGAAGTAGAGATAAATGCATCGACTCGATACTCTCCGAATAAAAAGAGATGCGCTAGAATAATGTTCAGGAGAGAAGTAACATGACAGGATGCATAGTTTCTCCCACGTATATATAACTCGGTCAAGCATTTTTCTTCCTTTTCCTCCGCAATAGCGATCGATTTCTTTCGTGCCAATTTCTTATCAGATATTTCGCAACATCTTTTATTAGCTTATTTTTAGCGTCTATTACTGTGCGTCCGTGTTACAAATTGTCAATAATTTAGAATAAACTATGAACATCAATTCAAGTGTGTGTGTGTGTGTGTGTGTGTATTTATTTATGTGTTTTATTTGCGCAAAAATGTGTAAAAAGATCTTTTTTATCATACGTTAAAAACATTATTTATTTAAGACTAAATAATACATTTCCTCTTGCGAATCAATCAATTTGATCAAATCAAAGAGAAAGGATTATTTACCGAACGAGAAAATGGGAAAATCATTTTGTTACTCAACAAAGATCGCACGTTGCTCTTAATACGTAAAAAGACCGTTCTTAACTTGGGGCTGAGAAGTTCTCCCACATGCGGCTTATTCACTCAAGTTATAGCCTTTTCAGATTATCACTTATCTCGATCAATAAAGAACTCTATAACTGAAGTGTTTTCGAGATGTGACGGATAATGCAAAAATAGGTCGACAATTTTATTGTCTTTGAGCCGATGTCTTTTTTTTCGCAAGGGAATTTGCCAACCTAAAGATGGCAAAAGGTCATGGAAAATGAGGGCAAATAATTTGATAAAATTGTTATAATGATATTATTATTATTAACATAATATATAAAAGACAAAAATATATTTGTAAACTATTTTGTTTATTAGAGAAATATAAAAATTTTGTATATCTCTCATACGTATGTGTGTACATACATTACAACGTTCTTACGTTTCATAACGATTCTAACGTTTTGGCGGCGCGCTGTTATTTGCCAGTCGCTCGTGTTTGTCCTCTTGCGGTCCACGGCGTACCTACATCCCAGTAATACGTGTGTGCATATGTTGCATATACGTGACTTCATACATATGCAAGTTGGCCGCATTATGCATTTGTCGCATGTGCGACGCGTAGTTGTCAACTTGCACCGCGTTTGGATACTATGCGGGCGCGAATGTAATCTCCGTAGATTTCGCGAAACGAAATAAAGTTTCGACATGTACAAAAAAAAAAAAAAAAAAACAACAAACAAGCAAAAATTTCTCCCCTTTCCGAGAATGGTCGTCACAATGACATGCATATTCCCCAATGTATTATTACGCGGCTCGCTCGCCGGCGAAGTTTCGCACGTGAATTGCTTCTGACGTAACGAAGCGATTAAAACGAAGAGAATATAACACAAAATGTTAAATAACTTGACATGAATGCAATTAAGCGATAGAAAATTTTATAACAATATCACGTGGAGAATACTTATGATAATAATACATTATTAGATCGATTTTATGAGATTTTTAATAAAATCGTTAAACTTTTCTATTTTTTTTTTTTTTAAGATGAATTAAATTAAATGTTAATTAAATTAAATGTTCAAAATCGCGTTCTTTTTCTTTTCTCAAAAATATTCAAATTAGATTTACAGTTTTATTTTATTTTACTTTAATTTTATTTAGAACACATTTATCACACAAACTTATTCTCTTGTTGTATCCAAATGTGTCAAAAAGATATTTAACTAAAAAAAGTTTTTTAATTTATTTAAGTACTATAAAAGTTCTTTATCCTAAATAAGTTTTACTTTAAGTGGTATTAATAATTAATAGTGAGAATAATCGTAATAACTAATGGGAACTAATAAAACACCAGAATTCTAGTCATTAGGTAGAAAAAGACTGGATTACGCTCTTCGATATAAAAATTATGAATAGACCGATAAAAGGAACCGCGGATAATACACAGTCGCGGCAGATTTTTTAATATCGCAGTAGGATTACGCAGTAATCTACTTGGTAGTCGAGGATTTCCGTTTATCGTTTCGTAAAAAAAAAGAAGATATTACCACAATTTATGTCCGCGAACAGATTAATGTAGGATAAAGTGAGAAAGTGGTTAAAATTTGTCTTAAACAAATCGAATTAAATCACTTTTAATAGTAATGCGGATGTAATGATGATTTTATTCTTTTGTTGTTGTTGCAGGTTCGAGAAAATCTGAAAATTTGAACGATGTGAGAGAAATATATGGACGGACACCAAACGGACTGGGTAAAATCGGCGAAATCACGAATACGTGGCGGGACGTGAAGCGGGGTAAGCGATAAATCAAGTCGAAAACTTACTGTAATTATTTTATTTAGAAAACATTATGTTTCTTACCTAAATAATTATTATTACATCTTACTTTTGACAAAGTATTAAACGTCACACGTAATCTGATAAAAAAGTAACAAATGAATTTCACCATTGTCGTGTTGTTTTATTTTTTAAAAGAGAAATTGTACGTATTTTTATATGTTACATAATAATTTATCAATTTCTTTGTTAGAGCTTCTACGTGAAGTAAAACACGCGCGCTATTAATTTCTGTTTTGGGCGAGTTTTGAATAAAACGCTTTATATATCTATATCTATACATTTATACTTTAGTAGATTATAAATTGCATTTCGGTAGATTATAAATCGCAATTTTTTAACGGAGATTAATTACACGCTAAGAATCGCAATGTGTGACTAAGATAAATGAGCTCTAATAAATAAAATTTTGCGCGGTTTAGATATTTCCTTGAATATGAAGTTATATATATATATATATATATGTATAGAAAGTGGAAACGAGTTTTATCGTATGCACGTAAACGTATCACGTGTGAGCCGGATGACAGATGAGGAACATAAAGAGCGGTGATCACCGAATCTTCAATTTCTAAGTTTTGATAAATCTCGCTTCTTATAAACTTTTGTTTTAACTGTTAAAACGTTTCTCTCTGAAAGTTTGTGCAAACTTCCAGCATATCGTTGAATAACCTTCAAAAATTTTAAATTAGAAAAAAAAAACGATATTTGTTCTCTCGGACAAACTTTACGCTTTTTTGATGTTTCCTTCGTGAAATTTTAACGTACCACATTGAGCTTTAGAGGATATACAAGTAGAATAAAAAGATTAAGAATATTTCGAAAGTTATTTAGACTGAATTATTTTTAATTACAAAAAACGTAATCGTATGTGTTTGCTGCATTGTTCTCTTTAGTAGCAATGCAGATAAAAACACAAAACTGACGACGATGAAATTAAATCACAAAGTGAGCAAGCAGCACACTAGCTGGAGAGGTCAAACACTCTTGATCTTTTTTATCTCGAATTGCTTAGAGACAAGTGCTCCGGTAGCAAGCTTGCCGAATTCCCAAAGGAATCCGCAACGCCTATAAATATGTATGATGGCGTCTTCAATTCCCCGGGAAAGAGCTATCGAACGCGAAGCGGATTACATGGATTGTCTGAAAATGCTAAGCAAGCTCTGCTGTGTGTCCTAATTACAGCACCGTGATACGAACGTAGACGTTTAATTAAAAATTCTTTTCTGTTAATTTATTTGTAATTTCCTTTCTTTTAATTTGAATTGTTTAAGAATACATTCTGTATATATTTTTCTTTTTTCGCAAAATTTATATGTAACATTTATTTGATTTAAAATTCAAAATTATGATATTTTTTAATATTGTTTTTAGCGTTGAGCCTGCTCTGCGTGAAGAAATTCTCCGGCAGCGCGACAATGCTGGAGGCGCCGCCCGGAAGTCGCGAAGACCTAGTAGAGGCTGCAAGAACTCCATGTACACCCACCGGTAAGTGACGCTTATATCTATCATAAAGTTCGAAGGGAGTTTCGAAAGTTCGTCAAATTTATTAGTCCGCGTAAACACGCTCCGGTATGGTTTTGCGGGTGTCGAAATAACTGCGGTTTGACGCAGTCTCTTGTATGTTGTTGATTGTCGTGTTGATTATATTTATATATATATGGATCGCATTAAAAAACATTTTAAATTAACAACAAGAGAATGAATAAAATTATAATATACTAGAAATAAATATTTATATTTTGCTTAAATACTAAATTTTAACAATTTTAACTAGATAAGCTCGTAAGAAAGTAAAGATGAAACAAAGTATCAGACGCGAGCCAAGACACGCGCGCGTGTGTTTTTTTTATTGAATATAAAATCTGTTTCAAGCAAAAATTTTGATTCTCTTTTTGAATCTTCTCTTCAGTACAACAATAATAATTGAAATATTAATTAAAAAATTAACAACAGTAAACTTATTATGCAAGTATAAATAATATAACTTTATTGCTTCCCGAAAAAATAGTAAAATACCAGAGACACACAACAGAATTCACTTCATTTCACTAGATCGCAATACGTACGGACTTTTATATTCAATAAAGTTTTTATATTCAATAAAACAACACACGTACAACGTGTGTTTTGGTTCGCATCTGTTTTGATACTCTGCTGTGCTATTTTAAATTTTATATTATACACAAAGTAATATAGTAGTTTTGATAACAATATTTTAAATATTCAATGACAAAAGTAATTTAAGACACGCGAGATTACAACATGGATAATTTTCTGACACCGGGTTAATGAGTACAAACTTCTCGACGTCTATTCACTTTCATCTCTTAAACTCCGTTACCGTGACGGCTATCATTTACCTCACGGTGAAAAGTGGCATAACAAATTGTCCTCCGACCGATAACAAATTACCCTCTCGTTATGTTCTATCAGATTGCATTCCGTCGCTTTCGCATCCACGCAATAAATTAATTTCTTCTCTCATCGTTGTCAACCTCACCCCCAGCATAATTACAATCTTATCCGGTAACATCGTTAGAAAACTACCGTCGAGGAATATTCTCTTAGCATCGTTCCTCGACACATTTGTTCTTTGTGCTAGTGTAAAACCACTTCCTTTGCGCGAGAGATGCAAGCCGAGAGAGATAGATATTCTCGTTTCACCCATCCTGAACCGGTATCACCGACACCGGTGGTAATTGACACCGTTTTCACGGCTAAACCACTCTCCAATTTTCCCCTTATTTTCACGACGTAATAACTTATAGCGCCTGGCGTAAGTTTAGCCACCGGGGATGGGTCAAGGGGGTAAAAGTGCTGTCGACCACTAACGGGGCGCGCATATATACAAGTTTCTTCTTTAGAAACAGCCACCAAGATAAGCTCTCATTGGCGACCGAAGCGTAATCGCTATGGCTTCCTGAAATAGCGCGTCAATCCCTCGCTTCGCCAACACCACCGGAGAGTCCTTGCCCCGAGGAGCTTCGATCACACGTCAACTGCGGGACTTACAGACTTGACTTACGCTGGAATAAAAATCACAACAAGGAACGAGCGTTTTGCAACAACAACAACAACAAAAAAATGAAAAATAATCACCGAGCAGTTACAATTAAGTTACAAATAATCAAATTGCAATTTCCTCCGAACAATAACAGAGTGTGTGAATTAAATCAATGGAGTATCTCTGATATATTAAATTTTTATTTTATTTTAATATTGTGTGTGTATAAAAAAAAGATAAGAAAACAGGCAGGTACACGCGTACTGTGTGCGTTTTTTTTAAGTTTAAGAAAATTATTTTTTTAAATCTTTTTAAATCTTTATACATCCGAGAGAGAATGCAAAAATCTGCACCGAACTTTAAAGTCTCAGATTGCCGAGAAAAAGTTAAATATGTTGGATCCCGTGCGCGCGTGACTTTTTTGCGTGGACTCTTCTCAAGATACTACCGCGCCTCTCTTGATTCGAAATTATGACGAGAAAAAGATTATGTTTTATTTCATAAATATACAAGGGGTAGCACGTATACTGGCAAGTGGGTATCGAAAAAACCCCTCACGAAAATGATCGATCCCCCTCGTGCTCGACGCATTTTCTGTTCTCCATTTTTCTGTGGCATCGGGGAACGTCATAAATCTCATGAGAAAGCACTCTCGCGAGTGCTCTCTTCCGAGCGAAAGCGTCGCGATGCGCGCGATGATGATCGAGAGATGCAGATCGAAAAAATTGGCGCCGCTACGGCAGAATAAAGGCGTCCCGGAGTCTCGCGGGACGCGACCCGACGGTCTTGGTGTCCCGCCGTGGGGATTTCCATCTTCACTCCATAAATCAAAATGTCGTCGATTTCGCGACGGCGGTCCTCTCTCCGCGCGCCAGTCTGCCGGTTTCGCGGCAAAGTAAATAACGATCGACCGAAAAATGTCGGAGCGTTTTAAAGAGCTCGGTCTTAAAAAGTTTCGGAGGACCTCTTTGTCATCGTTCTTTTCTCCTTTTTTTTTCTGCTCCTTTTCTCCCATCTATCGCCCCGCATCTACTCTCTCTCTCTCTCTCTCTTTCTCTTTCTCCGTCTGTGGAGCCACCCTAGAAACTTTGGTAATTACGCGGAATTAAGCTCCTTCGAATTTATAACACCGACCCTCTTGACACATCGGCAATAAGGAACGAAACAAACGACCAGAGGGAAAATGCAAGTAAGAGAAAAAAATGTTTTTTTCTTTATAATGTTTTTTTTATCCGAACTACTTATTGTTTAGTTTTATCGTATCTTTTTGTCAGTGGCTTTGCGCTATTGACTCTCCGCGCATATTTATTTTATTGCACAATTTATTAAATTAATTTTTTTTTTTTTATAATTACCACGCGGCGCACTCTATAATAATTTAAGTACATTACGAAATAGCGTGCGCGTTTCTCTCATAAATTTCGCATTGAGCGAAGTTATAATGCGGGAACAGTTTGCGACGAGCGCGATTCGGCCCACACAAAATTAATAATAACGCGCATGAGAGGGCACATCCACTCTCTCTCTCTCTCGCTCTTTCTCTCTCGCGAACGCGCGCGCATATGTTACCTGTATTAATTAATATGAAATTCTAGATCGGCAACTGTTACGTTGAGAGTGCAGCCGTTTTCTTGCATAATTAATAATTATCTACAGAGATACTGTAAATGTAGAGACTTTATTACGAACTCGGGTAAACGCGGTGAAATGAAAACTGTTGCTAATGATATTAAAACATATGGAAGGAACAGAAATTATTAAAATTTCACGGGTACACAGCTGACATGCCAAACACGTTACGAAATTTGAATAAATAAATGTGATGTTGGTTACCGAGTCTGTATACGTAAAGACTAAAAATGTAGAATTATTATGAGTTTTATTTACTAATTACTGCAATTTATTAAATATTGTGAGTAAATATTTGTGTGCGAAGAGACAGAGAGAGAAAACTAAAAAGTATATAAGTTTAAAATATAGAAGATACATTTGATGTCTTTCAAGAGAGAGAGAGATTTACGAAATTATATAATATATAAAAATCAATAAAAGTTTATTCGTATTTATAAAATGGATATCACGCGACACACATTTTGGCGAATAAATCAGTACGGTTTCTGACGCTTCGTGTCCGGCGATGCATATTGCGCGTTTCCATATTTATTCGCGCAGACGGTCATGCACCGATAATGCGCTCCGAACACAATTTATCGACGATAATTGACGAAGCAGATTACACACGCGAATCGGGGGCCGCGACTACCATCGACATTTTTTCTTTACCCAGTATCATCGAGAGAACTCGATATCGGCGCGTAACGAACGACTCGATCTAATTAAACTTGCTCGCTGAGAGAGAGAGAGAGGGAAAGAGAGACGCAATTCGCAGCGTAAATGTTTGCAAATAAAAGCAATCGTCCTTCTCTACACACTCGATACTCGATACACAGCTAATGGAAAATAGTTTTGCTCATCAGCCATCTCGTGTTCGTCTTGATTATCTTCTCTGCTTTTGCAATAAATTAATAAAAACCGATTTGTTATTATTAACTTCTGTGTTAGCACAGAAAAATGTGAAATAATTTTTCTAAATAAATTCTGTAAAACAGCTTTGCAATGTGATAAAAAATAACACGTGGTAAAAATATTTATTGCTCTCGAAAATTGCGTAACGTTCACTTGCGGAAACCACGCGTGAAAATGGTTGGTTGTAAAGCAAACTGGGTCACTATTAACTATGAAGAGTAGTAACAGACCGTCGCGCAGTTTGATAAACCGTATCGTGCCGGTAGTTCAAAACAGTGCGAATAACAGCAAGCAATTACACGTCAGAAGACAACGTTGTATTACCGAGGCTTCGAGAAAATGCAATTAAATTTCTCATGACGTGATAACGGTAACCACACGGAAAATTATCTCGCTGGACCAGTAAGAAGATTAAGTGCTTATATAGACAGCAAGAACGTTATATGCTGAGCTTATCGAAGATGATTTTTGTTTTGTCAGAACAACACGTTTTATTGGTGAAAATTCAGTTCAACTCGAGACAGTCCCAACAAGTTTTTCTCGCTGTTCATGCGATAGAAGAAGAACTTTGTTTTCCGTTCAAAGAATGAACGTAATGTTATATAATAATTTCTACACACAAAATTAAATATTTCAAATTCTTTGGTTGATACACAAACTGATGACAAATTATTTTGTGTAGTTTTTCTTTTCTGAGAAGTTTTTTTTTCTGAACCTCTCTTCTCAGAGACTCAATATCTAGATCTTTTAATATTGTAGCGAGCACACAAGAGAGATTCTCATCGGTTTGCGCTGCTGGAGCAGCAAGTGTTCCAGCAATTTACAACGCTGCCGGCAATACTTGCCAAACAGCCAGTGAGTTATTAGATAATTTCGCGCGTTATTGCAGCATGCATTTCTTCCCCCCCAAAGGGAAAACTTTCGCAATACATCCGTTAGAGAGAGCGAGTTTCTT